TGCTAACTGCGGCCTGGCCCCCACCGGCTCTGTCGCCCACGGTGCCGAGGGCATTGACGGTGATGTCGGTCGGCGCCTGCAGGTCCACGTCCATGCGTAGTGCCCACGCTCATTCCATGCGGTGATAGACGGGCTGTTGTGAGGGAGGCCGATGCATGAGAACCAGCAGCCCGTCTTGTCCGTGCTGAATGTGACTGAGCAGCTGCGTGTCACGAGAAGGTTGACAGATGTTAGGATGAGGCCCGAGCTGGGGACGTGCAGCATGTTGTGCAGCCGGACATTGTGTCCATCACGTGTACGCAGGTGCAACTGCGCTGTTCCCATGACATCGGCCAGCTGGTTGTTGCCCCACTCGATCAGCCGTGGTGCGCTGGCGGGGACGTGGTTGTGCAGCAGGGAGTGGTCACCCGTGAGGTGGTATGGTGAGCCTGAGTCGAGGATGACTCGTGAGCTGCTGCCACTGCCGTCGATGACCAGCACTGTGGCACGGCTCTGGTGTGAGCTGCTTCCGCTGCTGTCCGAGCCGCTGCCACTGCTGCCGCCTGCAGTGTCGCCACCGTTGCGGTGGCTGTTGCCGCATCGAGCACGGCCGCATTCGAGTGTTCCGTCGGCCCCGCTGTTGCCACCATTGCCGCTGCCAGTGTCCCTGCCGCCACCGTCACAGTGGCGGTTGCGGCTGCCTCAACTGATGTTGCCGGCGGCGTGCAGCTGCTCGAATGCGTTGCTGTGGTGAAGGCCGACGGACTCGTCCGCCTGCTTAATGGGGCACTCGCAGATGTAGTAACCAGGCTGTCCGCAGTAGCGGCAGGTGTCGCCGGCCCCCACGGCGCCTGCAGCACTGGCGGTGCTGCCGACTCCACTGGGGGCACGGCCAGGGCCGACAGCTCCCACCAGGCTGGTCTGGCTTGCTTGGGTCTTGAGGTTGTTGTCCTTCTCCCGCAGCATGAGCACGAGCTGTGGGGTCGTTAAGTTGGGCTGATACATCGTGAACTCGATGGTGATGGTGTACTGCGGAGGCAGGCCATGGAGAATGGCGAGGCGCACCGTGCTCTCGTCCCACTGGCCGCCGGCCACAATTATATCGCTACGGAGCTGCTCTGCCCGCTAAATGAAGTCAGCGGTTGTCTCCCCATCGCGCATGTTCAGCTGCATCTGCGGCTCAACCAGGCTCAGCCGGGCCTGGGATGCAGAACGGAACTGTTGCTGTAAGAGCTGCATGGTGGCGAGACCGGTTGGGCAATTCATGAGCAACTGCTTGATGGGCAGTTCACAGGACAGACGCAGGTAGCTGAGCGCCTGTGCGTCCTCCTCCAGGGCGTCTTGGGAGTTGCGGCTCGGAGGCGACGGGTTGTTGATGTAGCTCTTCAACTTGGACGTTGCGAGGAAATCGCCTAACTCGCCGAGCCAGTGGGAGTATTTCGACCCATCCCAGAGGATGATGGTCTTACATCCCTTCCCCATGATGGTTGGCTAGCGAGCATGACTGATGAAGAATCGTTCCCCGCCGCTTTTCTGGCAACTAGTTGATGTAATGATGCATCCTTGGTCCGGCGTACGACGGCTCCTGATGCGATCTATGCCCTTTCAGCCTCCCAGGCATGTCCCCACCTGCCTCACAGCCACCGACGCATCTCACGGCGGGGGTCTAATTGCGTGCGCGTATGGATGCTCCTTTCCCCGCCGCCTTTCTAACAACTAGAAATGTTATGATGTATCGTTGGTCCGGCGTACGACGGCGCCTGATGCGATTTATGCGTCCGGAAGCCCTTTCAGCCTCCCAGGCATGTCCCCACCTGCCTCACAGCCACCGACGCATCTCACGGCGGGGTTCTAATTGCGTGCGCGTTCGCATGCGGCATGTCCCGCCACCTTTCTGGCATCTAGTTGATGGTATGATGAATCGTTGTGCGATGTAGGGCTGCGCCTGATGCGATTTCGTTTGCGGAAGCCCCCCCTGAGTGCTGCCAAGCATGTTATTCTCTCATGAGACTGCATGAAGGTTTACGAACTGAGTATGCGACCAACACATAAAACATCGCATGTGAATTGTTATGTCATGCGATTCATCAAAGGTAAATCGTGTGTGCTTGTTGTGTGTTAGCTTAGGCCGCATTAAGCTTGACGCAACGAGCCTTCATACGCTTGAAACGCAACATTTGTTTGCATGCGAATTGCGTTGCGATATGTGTGTGTTTGGTAAGTGTTAGGCTGCGTTAAGCTTTACGCAATGAGCCTTTATACGCATGAAACGCAGCATGTATTCGCATGCAAATAGCCTTGCGGACTGTGTGCGTTTGATGTGCGAGTGGACGCGAATTGCTTTACGCATTGTCTCCCCACACGCACGAATCGCATTATGGAATCGCATGCGTATCGCCTTGCTACACATGCGCGTATGCTTCGCGTTTCAACATACGCACGGATGAATTGTTCAAGTCGACCAAAACGACGCAAGTTTATTTCCAAATAAACCTTTACAATCTGAAATTTATAATTTTTTAAAAAACTTGGCCAGAAGGGCCGATTTCCGCTTTTCCATAGCCGTTGTGCGTTAGCTCTTTGCGTTACAAAAGCATGCTCATTCGCACCTAACGCTAAGATTCGCACCGTTACGCGAACTAACGCGAGCTAACGCGGACTTAACGCGATCACCCGTCGTCATAGTGGACCCTACTCCAGGCATCATTGTTGCTACAGAAGAGATCAAGACAAATATGGGGGTCCTTGTGAAGCAGCTGCCCGCGTTTCCAAAGCACGTATGGTGTTGGATTGTAAGGTGCCCAAGTACGTTTGCGAGGAAGAGAATGTGGCCAGGCTGGAGAGGAAAGTGCAGTGGCATATTGGAATGTGAGATTAGCGTAAGCGAGTTACAGGGCGTTTTATTGCACGGGCGAATTTACGTGCAAATCTTTCACCGTAGCATCAGTCCTCAGTTCACTTCTTGGAACGAACATCAGCATAGGTCCAAGCCCTCTCACTTGGAGGGATATGCAAACAAACATCCTGATAGGGGTAAACTCGCACGCTACCGAGCATTCAACCGAGCACATGCATGCTTAGTTGAATGGTGAGATGCGACCCCCCCTTCATTTCGTGCTCGGCAAGCCTGCCACCGCGTACCGGATATGTTGATGATGTTACAGAGACACTGCACCTTGGTTTCTGTGTGCAATGCGTACGATGCTCGACCCCGCCGACCAAAACTACACGTGCCCAACTGAAGACATTCCCGGTGGTTGTGCAGCAGCTCTTGAGGCTGTTGCTGGCTGAAATCCATCCTGAGCTGTTGCAACACGGCTAACGCGGGCACGTCCCTATGCACAGCAAATAGCTGTTCCAAGCCAACAGCAGCGTCCATGTCACCGACAAGGCTCTGTTCTTATGTTTAATTAAGTTTATGTATGTTATACTTTGCGCAACTTTGTAATTTGACTTTACTCTGAACAAGGTGCTGTATACGTTGCACTACCAAAAATGCGACCGTTTGCTTGCACACAACTGGCCATTCAAGACCCCGGCGGACCAATTCTTTTGTCAGGAATAGAATCCAGGCCTACTCCTACCTGGCCGGACGGTCAACATGTCCTACAACGCCCCAACGATCCGCTTTCCTTATCCTTATACCAGCTGGTCACCTTGTAGGATGTGGCTTCAGACTCAGTCGCTCCAGGCAGATCCTGGTTAGAGGGTAGGACAAACTGTCGGGCAGAGCAATTCTTTTGACTGCCCCGGTCGCACAATTCCCGTGCTTCCCTAATTCGACACCCTGAACACGCTAATTCTGACTGTCCGAATGTCCCTGCCAGGCCAATTCGACACCCTGTCAGCCTAATTCTGACTGTCGGAATGTCCCGCCAGGCTAATTCGGCACCCGGACAGGCCAATTCTGACTGTCGGAATGTCCCTGCCAGGCCAATTCATATCCCTGTCAGGCCAATTCAAGGGCCTGTCCCGGCAATTCAACTTGTCCCAGGTGTCAATTTAAACCCTTCTACCGAGCAATCTAGACCAATTGCAGGGTCTGCCCCCAAACTCTCAGGCACACATTCAGAATCGCGGGAGTTGAAGGAACTTTACAAAACAAGGGGAGCACTTACAAATATCTCTCGTGTGTTTGTTGGTTTCAAATCTGTACT